ACTAACACAAAGCATACAAATTGCTATGATGTTTAACATATAGAAAAATACTGTTTGTAACTAGCTCCCAGGAGGCTAGTTGCATTGTGATGAATCTTTGTAACTTAGTCACATTTATTGAGTGCCTGTCATGTCACTAAGTTGATGAATTTTAATATGAATGATGCAATTTATTTTGTAATTACATATTTTTAAAATTTATCTAATAATAAGTTAATACTGAAAATAAAAAAAAAATTAATGAAGAAATACATTATTTGAAGCCCATTTGCTACGTACATTATTTAGGTTCTATATGAGATCAAAGTAGCATACAATTTCCTTATATTTGCTTCTGAACAGGTAAAGATAAAAAGAAAGTCAATGCTAAACAGAACTGCTAACCTAGCCAAAAAACAAAAAAGATTTGTGCTGGTGCTGTGGCTCAGCAGTAGAGCGCTCGCCTGGCATGTGGGAGGCCCTGGGTTCAATCCTCAGCACCACATAAAAATAAACAAAATAAAGGCATGCTGTCCATCTGCAACTACCAAAAAAAAAATAAAAAAATAAAAAAAGTAGCAGAGATTTTATTTGTATAGGAAATAGTTTTATTTCTTCCATTATCCCATCTCCTCCTCTCCTTCCCCTCCCCTCTCTTTTTCTTTCCCTCCCTCCCTCCCTCCTTCCCTCCAGCCCTCCTTGCCTTGGTGTACTGGCCAGGACTTCCACTGAATGTTGCTGAGGAGTGTCACCTTAACAATAAGTGTCGGGTTTTGCTCATCTCAGGAGGAAAGTATTCAATATTTCACCATTATGTATGATGTTAGTTGTAAGTTTTTTTTAGTTACCATTTAATAAGATAGTAAAGCTCCCTTATATTCCTGGTTCACTGAAAGGTTTTAACCTGGAATGAATGCTGATTTTTCTTCAAATGCTTTTCACACATCAATTGATATGATCATGTGGTCTTTCTTCTTTACTCCCAATCTTTTCATTCCCCAAATAAAATCTCTGGTTGTGACATATTATTATATGTGTTTGTAAAATTGAATGTGTAGAAGTTTTCATTTTCAGAAGGATTTTAACTACATATTCAATTTTGTTCAGTAGATATTTTTTAGGTTATCTGTTTCTTTTTGGATAGAGTGGATAGTTAGTGGCATTTAAGGAATTTGTCCAATTAATAGGCAGAATTTATTATCCTTTTGATGTTTATGGCATCTGTAGTGATATCCACTTTTTTGTGTCTTTTTTTTTCTTTGTCACTGTTATTGGAGCCTTCTCAATTTATTCATTCTTTCAAAGAACTGTTTTTTATTTCATTGATTTAAAAATTTTCTTTTCCCAATTTTATTTATCTTGTTATCTTTATTTCCTTCCTTCCGCTCACTTTGGGTTTTTTTTTTTTTAACTTCTTTTCCTAGTTTCTTTAGATGAAAGTTGAGGTATTGAGTTTTTTAAAAATATTTATTTATTTTTTTTTTTTAGTTTTAGGAGGACACAATATCTTTATTTTACATTTATGTGGTGCTGAGGATTGAACCCTGTGCTTCATGCATGCCAGGCGAGCACTCTACCACTGAGCCAGAACCCCAGGCCTGCCCCCGCCCCAATTGAATGTTTGATGTTTTTTTTGGTAACATTTTATAGCTCTAAATCTCCCCATGTGTATTATTTAGATATATCCCACTGGTTTTGTTATTTTATTTTCATATTTTGATTAGTCCAAAATATTTTATAATTTGAACATTCCCCTTTGGCTTTTTTTATCCTTGGATTATTAAAAGTGTGTTTCATTTCTAAGTATTTGGGAATTTTTTAGATATATTACTGTTACTGATTTCCAATTTTATTCTGGCCACTGAACATATTTTTCATGATTTTAATTTTTGAACCTTTTATTGTTTTATAACCCAGGAAGTGTTTTATTTTGGTGAATGTTTCATGTGCATTTAAAAAGAATGTTTTCTGCTCTTCTTAGGTAGAGTGGTATGTAAATTTGAGGTTCTATTGATGATGCTGCTCAATTCTTTTATAACCTTGCTGTTTTTGTGCTTTTTCTTTTGATTACTATAAGAGGAATGTTGGAAGTCTTTCATTATAAAATTGGAATTGTGTGGTTGCTTCATTTCTGTCAATTTTTGCTTCATATATTTGAGACTCTGTTGTTAGGTGCATACACTTGTAGGATTCATAAATGTCCTTGTTGAATTGATCCTTTTTAACATTGTGTAATGTCTTTTATCCTTAGTGATTTCTTGTCTTGCTTGGTAGTCTAGTCTCTTTGGCTCTTTTTCGATTTGTATTTTTTAAACCTTAGTTCTCATGTTCCAACAAAAGACATTTCAAGCCAGACATCAAAATCCAGGCAAGGAACTTTATTATAAGTGAAAATATAGTAAGGCTCACTCTCAAGAGAGAGAGTAGGTTGTCTCCAAGCAGAGAATGAAAAAGGGAACAGTGATGTCTCCAAATTTATTACCATTTGATGTTTGCCTTGAGAACTGGGGTCTGCCTTCTGCACTCTGCCAACTGTATGTCAGGCAGTAAAGTTTTTGACCCTACTTTGTCCTCTCAGGTCATGGTGGCCATCCTATTCAGGGGTGCTCATCTGCAAGTCAGTCCTATGTCAGTGTGGACATTGGTCAGAATGTGGCTGGTCAGAATTTAACCTTAGTGCACCGGCACTACTAAAGAAACCTCTCTTCTGAGATATATGGAGATACCTATGGCCATAAATCCTAGCTTTATAGTGACCTCAGTAGACCCTGTCAGGAGTTGGTCCCATTAATCCTTCTTTCTTGACATATTTCTTTAATTGGTTCCCTTTGTTTCTACCTGTTCATTCTCAAGGTTTGTGTATGTGGTGTTTTTATGAAAGCCATCTAATTATACATTTGACTTCAAAGTAACTTAAAAAAACCTGTGTCCTTGCCATTTATTTCTCTGCTCATTACTGACTACTATCTAACATGTCCATAAATTTTCTCATTTTACTTTTAACTTACCTATATTATTATATTTAGTGTGAGTTTTTTTTTTGTTTGAGACAATATAATTGATTCTTATTCTCCTTTAATTGGTATGTGTAGGCCATTTAATTTAATATAATTATTGATATGTTTGCATGTAAGTCTTCTATTTTATTATGTATTTTCAGCTTGTTTCCTGTTTTTCATTTCTGTTTTCACCTTCCCTGTTATTATTTGGATTATTCAAACCTTTTGCAAGTATTTAATCTTTTCTGTATTTCTTTTTATGGTTCTATTAATGGTTCACTATGAATTGAGTCCTCTGTTTCTGGAGTATAGTAGAAATATAGCAATAATTTGGTTGCTTTAAACTTAACCACTTAACTTTTCATGACTATCTTTTTAAAAATATCTTTATTTTAATGTGGTGCTGAGGATTGAACCCAGTGCCCCACGCATGCCAGGCAAGCATGCTACCACTTGAGTCACATCCTGAGCCCCTCATGACTGTCTTTTATTTCTCTAATTGCTGTGTAATGGACAATTTTAACTTTTATTATTTGAAGTGATTTTAAAGATATACTTGAAAACTGACTGTCATTCAAGATTAATTCTTGAAAACAGTTAATAATTAAAATTGTTATATTTTTGTAACTTTAAATGTAGTACAGTAGAGATAATTGTATTTCTGTATATACCTATATTCTTATTTTGTGTCTTTTAGATTCTAGTATGGTGCTGCAAACATAATAATGATGAATTTCTTCCAAATTCTTCTGTGAACTTCAAAAGTGTCATACCTAACCACCTTTTTTTAAAAAAAAATATTTGTTTTTTAGTTGGACACAATAGTTTTATTTTGTTTATTTTTATGTGGTGCTGAGGATCGAACCCAGGGCCTCGAACATGCTAGGCAAGCGCTCTATCGCTGAGCCACAACCCCAGCCCATACCTAACCTTTACAGTTTGGAGGAATAGTGGTGATATTTCTGTGTTATTGATACAGATATTATGACTCAACCCAGTAATTTGTCTAGTTTCACACATCAGACTGCAAGTGAAATTTGAGTTCAGACTCCAGGTCTTTTTGATCCCAAATCCACGCGTTTTACCATTTTTCTGGTCATTTATTTCACAAACGTTTACTGTGTGTCATGTACTACCTAATTTTTTATTGAAAACAACACAGTCCTTGCCCTTATTGTTCTTACTCTCTTGTGGATGAGATAGATATTAAACAAATAAGTCTAAAATTAAGTGTGTAATTATTTTGTTATAAGTGCAATGTAGGCAAAGGACAGAGTTTGGTGAGAATCAAAAACGTAAATAACTTAGCTTAGATTGGGAATAGAGGTCTGGAAAATTTCTTTGAAGAAGTAACATTGGAGGTTAGAATCTGGGATGGATGGGAGTTAGCAAAGAGTGGAAGAAAAACTATTAGCAGAGGAAAAAGATGCCCTAAGACCTTGAGTTAGGAAGGATTTTAAAGGGTTGAAGGAGCTGAAGCAAGACAGGTCAGTGGGCTGCAATGTGGTGTTAGACTAGGCAGAGACAGAGCTGGAAGGAGAGGTGAGGCGGTTTGTCCAGGGCAGTGTGGGCCTTGTGAAGGTGAGTTTATTGATAGTTGGCTTCATTTTCTCTCCATTTAGAATGCAGACTGTTTATAAGGTAAACACTATTTCCATGAATTAGTGAATAGCGAAGCTGATTTCTTTTACCTCTATATGAGATAGTTCCAAGACTCCCGTATGTTTATTTGTCCTACAGCCTGTGATATCTCAAGTTTTTCTAATGAAAAGAAATTGAGTTCTCTCAAAATAGTTAGTAGGTTTCATTGTGTTGGTTAAAATAATGCTAAGGGAACAATACATTTGGAATGTCATGTGAAGAATAATGAACTTTAAATATTTTCTCAATTTCAGACATGCTATAGATAAACAGGATGTACTGCTCTAAATTTTAAGCTTTTTTAACAACGAGTTATTGAAATACTTCTCTTTCACTATTTTCTTTAAATTTCTAATATTTACATGGTTATATCTTTCTTAGTCTGAGGGAAAAGGCCATACCAGTGCTGGAGATGTGATATATGAGGTGGTGAGTCTACAGCGGGAGTCTGACAAGGAGGAACCCATCACTCCTACTAGTGGAGGGGGTCCCTTGTCACCCCAGGAGGATGAAGCCGAAGAGGGTAAGAAGTTGGACTTACTCATTATCTCTTTAGTAATTGCTTTTCCTATGATCCTCAGAAGTGGGCATGTATATGGATATATGTGTGTGTGTGTGTGTGTGTGTGTGTGTGTGTGTGTGTGTATTACACTGTCCCCAGTGCCACTTATGCAACTATTTAAGTTGACACTTTGCTGGTTTGCTTCCTATTTTACTTCAAGTATTTTTGAAGAATTTAATGAGAAGTTTCAAATTTTCTCAAGTATTTCTAGATCCTCACTGATATATGTTCTACTTCATGTTTGACATTATTCAGTTCTGGCTTGATTTTTGTATACTACCTATCCCTTATTATTCACTATTTTGAAATAGCATGCTCTTTGTTCTTTTTACTACATGGATGCTACGAGGAGATACTAACCAACCTCAGGACAGTCACACAGCCTTTGGCTCCATTCACAACACACTTTTAATAGGAGTTAGGGGTATATGACAGATCTTTACTTTAGGCGCTTATGTTATCTGCCTATGGGATAGAATTTACCAATAGTGAATTTATGATTTATACCATCTTTGAAATAGAATTCTTAGTCTTTTGCTAGATTAAATTATTCCTGTTTTTTCATTGTCATAAAAATAATAGCTGTTTTTAGTTAATATTTGCTGAATGTTTAGTATCTGCAAGGTATCATTTTAAGTGTTTCAAATGTGTTAACTTATTTGGTTCTTAATGTCCTACAAGTGTTCTTTATCAACTTGGTTTTAGGGATGAGGAACAGAGGCACAGAGAGCGTTAAGTCACTTGCTTATGTCACTTGGCTGGAATTGGCAAAGCTGAGGTCTGAACCCAGGCTGTGTGTTCTGACATTGACATTTATAATTACCATATTATTCTTCCTAGTTATCTAAATGACTAAAACATACAAGCAACTCTCTTTAAACTAAGGTAAAATATTCACACAATAGGAAATTAACCATTTAAAAGTGTATGATTCAGTGGAATTTAGAAATTCATGATGTTGAGAAACCATCACTTCTAATGTCAAAACATTTTCATCACCAAAGAAATAAATACCACACCTAAGAAGTCACACCTTGTTACCCCCTTTCCTTTGTCCTCAGATACCTCTAATTTGCTTTCTATATTTGTGGGCTTACCTATTCTGGGCAATTTATATGAGTGGAATCATACAAAACATGACCCTTTGTGTCTGGCTTTTTTCACTTTCCTTAATATTTTTGAGGTTTGTCCTTGTTGGTACATGTTATAGTAAGTAGCGGTATTTCATTCCTTTTTATATTCAATTGTATAGTTATACACACTTTCTTCTTTTTTTCAACTTATGGGCATTTAGTCGTTGTACCAGTTAACAGTTGTAAATAATGGTAATATTTGTGTACAAGTATTTCTTTGAATACTTGTTTTCAATTTTGGTAGGTATGTAGCTAGAAGTTGAATTTCTCATCACATGGGAATTCTATTTTCTGTGTTGTTAAGAACTGCCAAACTGGTACACAGCAGTTCAGTCTTCCTGATAGCAGAATACAGAAGTTCCAGTTTGTCTACATCTTTGCCAAAACTTGTTTTATTTTTCATTTTTGAATGTTAGTGCCATAGTAAGTATGAAGTTGTTGCTCATTGTTGTGGTTTACATTTCCCTAATGATAATGATGCTGAGTACCCTTTCATAGGCTTGTTGGCCATTTATGTTATTTCCTTTTGTGAAATTTCTGTTCAAATCCTTTGTCTATTTTTAAATTGTGTTCTTTGCCTTTTTGTTGTTGAGTTGTAAGAGTTCTTAATGTATTCTGTATAGTAGACTCTTATTAGATTTATGAATTGCAAATGTTTTCTTGCATTGTGTAGGTATTTGGTTTTATAACTTGGCTATTGTCTTTCTTGACAGTGACATTTGATGCAAAAGTTTTTAAAGAAGTGCAGTTTAGGGGCTGGAGTTGTAGCTCAATGGTAGAGTGCTTGCCTAGCATGTGTGAGGCACTGGGTTCAATCCTCAGCACCACATAAAAATGAATACATAAAATAGGGCTGGGCTTGTGGCTCAGAGGTAGAGCGCTCGTCTAGCATGCATGAGGCACTGGGTTTGATCCTCACCACCACATAAAATAAAATAAAGATATTAAAAAAAAGAATATATAAAATAAAGATATTGTGTCTATATCTACAGCTAAAAAATACTTTAAAAAAGTGCAGTTTACCTCTTTTTTTCTTTTGTTGATTGTGCTTTTTGTATCAATTTTATAAATCCATTTGCAAGTCAAGGTCATAAAGATTTACCTCAGGTTTTTTTCTAAGGGACTTAGGTTTCTTATTTTTAGGTCTTTGAGTCTTTCTTTTTTTCAATATGATATGAATTTGGGGTCTGCTATTCTTTTGTATGTGGCTGTCTAACTGCCCCAGCTTCATTTTTTGAAGAGACTATTCTTTCACTGTTGAATGGTCTTTGTACTCTTGTTGAAAATTAATTGGTCAAAGATATATGGCATTGTTTCTGGACTCTCAATTCTGTCCTATTGTTTTATATGCCTGTCTTTATCCCAGTACCAAACTCTTTTGATTACTGTAGTTTCATAGTAAGTTTTGAAATTGGGAAATGTGAATCTTCAATGTTTTTTACTTTTCTAAGATTATTTTGGCTATTTGGGATCCCTTGCAAATCTAGTGTTTTTATTTCCTTTAAAATTTTATTTTATTGATGCATTGTAATTATATAGAATAGTAGGTTTCCTTGTGGCATATTTGTACATGCACATAATATAATTTGATCAATTTTATTCCTTACTACTTCCCCTGGCCTCTACCTTCTATCCTACTGTTTTTTTCTGCTGATCCTACCCTCCTGCCCTTTTTAAACTTCATATATGAAAGACAACATATGACCCTTGACTATCTGAGTCTGACTTCTTTCATTTAACATAATGTTTTCCAGTTCCATCCATTTTCTTACAAATTACATAATTTTGTTCTTTATGACTCAACAATAACTCCATTGTATGTATATACCATATTTTCCTTATCTATTCATATACAGATACCGTGACTGGTTTTATAACTTGGCTATTGTGAATTGTCCTTCTGCTTTTCCTATTTTGGAAAAAAAAAAGGTTTTTAAAACTTTAAAAATCTTTAAATTACTTTAGGTAGTATTATCTTTTTAAAAGTGTGAAGTCTTCCAATTCTTGAACATGGGATGTCTCTGCATATGTTTAGGTCATCTTAATTTCTTATTTATTTATTTATTTTTTTGGGACAGCATGCCTTTATTTTATTTGTTTATTTTTGCATGTGGTGCTAAGAATGGAACCCAGTGCCTCACGCCTACTAGGCAAGTGCTCTGCTACTGAGCCCCAGCCCCAGCCCTAGGTCATCTTAATTTCTTTCAGCAATGTTTTGAAAGCAGCTCACTTTAAAATCAACCATTTGTTTGTTACAGCCTGCTGGAGCCTTGCTTCTTCAGTACAAGGCCCTTGTAAGATTCTCAGGCTCTCCTAATAGTCATTTTGCTTTCTAGATTGAACCTAGCACTTACAGGTTATTTTTTATTTGATTAAATTGATGGTTAAGAAGGTAGTCTTCTAAATTATTTCTCATTGACAGTAACCTCCTGACATTTTGACATTTTATTTCTTCTTCTTCTTTGTTTTGTTGTAGGTCGACACAGTACCTTTATTTATTTATTTTTTACATGGTGCTGAGGAATGAATCCAGTGCCTCACATATGCTAGGCAGGTGCTCTACCACTTAGCTACAACCCCAGCCCCACATTTTATTTCTTAATACTCTTAAATTTCAAACCTTTTGTTCCCACCAGCTTATCATACCTTTTAATACCTTTGCTCCCCCACTGCCCACCCCCCCCTTTTTTTTTTGGTACTGGGGATTGAACCTGGAAGTGCTTTAGTACTACGCTACATTCCCAGCTCATTTTATTTTTTATTTTGAGACAGGATTTCATTAGGTTGCTTAGGGCCTCACTAAGGTGCTGAGGCTGGCCTTGTAATTGTAATCCTCCTGCCTCAGCTTCTCAAGTCGCTGGGTTATAGGCATGCACCACCTTGCCAGGCTGTTTTCTCTTTTGTTAAGCAAATACATACTGAACTGGTTACTTCTTGATTATCCAATCATCACCCTCAACTTCCTTATGCTTTTCTATCTTTCTTCATCTGTCAGTGTAAATATCCTCTCTGCTCTAATATATGAACTACCACTTACAGTATCATATTTTAACTCTCATTCTTCAAAGCAGGATGTTTTTGAATGAATGTCTTCTAACACAAAGTGGACATTTTAATACGGGGAACAAATAAAAAATAATTACTAGATTTAATGTCTTAGCAAATTTTTAGATCTACAGAAAGTTGAGTATACAGTATAGAGAGTTACCATATAACCATTCTTTTTTCACAGAAAGAATGGTTCAGTTTACCCTATTACACTATTATTAGCATTTTACTTAGTGTGGTACATTTGTTATAATTGATGAAGCTTTATTGATACATTATTGTTAAATAAAGTACACAGTTTATATTAGGATTTTTTAGTTCCATAGAATTTGACAAGTGTGTGATATCATATTTTTTACCAATAATGAATTATACAAAATAGTCTCATGGTCTTAAAATCCATGTCCTTTTGTGGCTTGACACCTAATTTCTGTTTATTATTTAATTTTTGTAGATGAATATAATACCTCTATGTGGGCTCCACAGCCTTGTCAGAAATTTTTTAAAAAAGATTTTAGCTATCCCAGGAGGTATATAGTAGTATCTCATAGTTCTTTTTATTTTTAATGCCCAATGACATAAGATTTTGAAGGTGTTTTATATGTCTTTGTCATTTGTATACCTTCTTTAATTGAAAAGTCTGTTGAATCGTTTTTCCTTTTTTTAACTTTTTATACTTAAATGTTTTTTATTTTTAAAAATATTTTTTATTTAAAATAGTTTATAAAATACATGTGATGTTTTGATATATGTATTCATTTAGGATTAATTAATAAACAG